CACACACACACACACACACACACACACACACACACACACTGGCCCAATGCTGTAGTCATCTACATACTAGTTATTTTGCATGAGGACAGAGTTCTCTTCAAATACCATACTGGTTTCTGGCTATTTCATTTTGCATGTGGATTGTTTCTTTCTCAGATGTTTAAAGCACATGAGGAAGTGTTAGACATTTCGACTCATTACTTTGAGGAGGAAGTGTTCCAATTAGCTTAGTGATTCCACCAGGAAACCCCATGACCTACACCCATGCTACTCTTGACCCCTACAGCCAGAGTGTCGGCTGTATCGCTTTGTAGAGGTGGTCATGTCATTTGTTTTAAGTTGATGTCAAGTCATTACTGACACAAACTGTTTTCAAATATTCTCTCCATACTCCCTCTGTGGGTCAGTGGTGAGTGGAGGAAGGACATAGAGAAGGCCCCAGGATTGGAGGTATTTGCACAGCTTTGGTCCTTGGTATATGAGGAAAGAAAGCCTCCCCAAAGGCAGATGCTGAAAATTCACATGGTTTTCAAACATAGTTACTTCAGTGTTACTGGCGAGCAGGACCCCAGTGAGCTCTCAGACCAGCCGGTGGGAATTTGTAGAAAGGGTCAAGCCAAAATGGATTAAATTCACAGGTAACTGGAAATGGCAGGTTGTTTCATAGTCTTTCCATCCCGCTTCTCAACAGGATTGCTCAGTTAACATTGTGTTCGCCTTAGTCCCCTGTCCAGAGGAGCCCGTGGGTGGAGTGGCTAATGTACAAAAGACAGTTGAAGGGAAAAGGAAGAACGTTTTATTAAGGGCTAGGTTATCAGAGAATGAAGGTCAGCTTGGGACTAATCAAGATGTAACCACACCCAGCCCGCTCCAATCTTGGGAAGGAGCCAATACTCTTGAACCTTCCTTGAAACTGATTAAGCGATGTCTTTTTGATAAGCTGCATCTAGCAGATGAATGCCTAAAGCACCAAGAGTCTTTTTATATTTAATTCACATGTCAGATAAACCCAAGCCCATGGCCATTTTGTTCCAACAGTTCTTACAGTAATTTATAGTTCAGAAAGAGACAATATAGAGCCATTTTGTTGTCTACAGAGAGAATGTATCGGTCAGGGCACTTTTGAGAGTGGAGGTATCTACTAATACATTGCGATTGGCCCCTATCAGCTGGCCGTGTGGTTACTCCAGCTACTTGCTTCCATCCTGGTGTAGAACTGTATGGCTTCTTAGATGGAGACTTCTGAGGAAGAGGAAAGGAGTGAAGAGTCAGATCATCAACGTTCAGTCCAGACTATCATCTGAACCACTTGGCGAGATCTATAGAAACATCCACAGCAGGCCCATGTGCAGAGATTCAGTTGGCCTGATGTAGAACTTGTGATTTGTTGAGATGCTTCTAATGCTGGTTTTTAATGTAGCTGTAATGTGCCAGGCTCAATTCTACATAATCCATATACCCTGTTATCCCTCATTTCACTGCCCCCAGGCTGGGATTGTCATTAGTTTTACAAAAGAGAAAACTGAGTAGGGAGTTGTTCTGATCCATGGAACAGGTCATTTCTGCATTGGTATTGTTTTAAGAAAGACTTCCAATCAGACTAATGTGTGGGTGGAGTTTCTCTGTATCTTGGCAGCCACTCCCAAATAACCATTCAGAGACTTATTATTAATTAGAAATGCTCAGCTGATAGCTCAAGCTGGTTACTAGCTAACTCTTACATTTTACATTAACCCACATTTCTTATCTACCCTCTGCCACGTAGATGTACCTTCTTTCAACATGGCATGTTCATCTTGCTTCTTTCTGCATCTCACCAAGATTCTGAGAGACTCCTCTTTTTCTTTGTGCTCTCTTTTTCTGCAAGTCCCACCTGACCTCTACCTGTCCAGCTATTGGCCAGTCAGCTTCTTTATTAATCCAATCACAGTGACGCATATTTACACAGTATAAAGGAATATTCCACACTAATGGTTGAGTCCAAAGGGGCGGGTATTTCTCACCTGAGCTTGAGTTCAATGCTGTGTCTGGAGGTTTAGTTCAATTTTGTTATTAAAAGACTTGCCTTTTAGGGCTAGAGGGATGGCTCAGCAGTTACGAGGTTTATCTTTCCACATTTATTTATTCTTTGAGCCTCCAACATCAATTGGGTTCCAAGAACTCAGTAAAATTCAATTCAACTCCATTGCCTGACCTCAGGAAAGGGCTCCACTTGACTTTACTTGTTTGTTCCAGAAAATTCAGCTCATGGATGGCCAAGGAAGAAATATGCAAGGCCAACTATGGGGGGTGAGTGAGGAGTTTCTGTACCCCTCCAACACCCCTCCACCCCGACGCAATACTTCTTTGTGTGCACCTTCCCATGAGTTCTCCCAGCCCT